ATGTTCCCATAACAGAACATCATTCAGCAGTAAAAATGAATTGCAATAACAGGGTTGAATGTTGAAACATAAAATTGAGAGAAAGAAGGAAAGTGCCACAGACTGTGCACAGCATGGTCTCTTTACAAAGCTCAAAACCAAAGCAAAATAACATATTCATTAGAGTAATAAAGCAAGGGAATAATAAACATAAAATCCAGGATAGTGCTTCCTCTAGAGATGGGGGCAACAGGGGAATTAGGTAGAAGGAACACAGCATTGATCATGTTTTAGAACTGAACTGAGTGGAAGTGCCTGAGTGTTTATGATATCATAACACTTCATAATCTAAAGATGTTATATACATCCTTTTACATTCATTTACATATAAACCTAACATGATGAAAATAATTTTACAGCCCATATTCCTTATGGGCCCCTTCAGCTATTGCATGGCGGCTACCGGTTTAGGGATATCTGGTACGATATGCTCCTTTTCCCCATCATCTGCTTATTTGGGGAAGAATTTGGAAAGAGCAGGCATGTCACTGCCCTTGAGGCCCCCAAAACAAATGCTGGGCACAAAACCCAGAGTGGATACTGGAGGCTGGTGATGGGAGGTACAGAGAAAGATCCCCTGAGAGGAGGAAAGAGCTCCAATGGGGGACCTGTGGCCAGCCCAACTCCCGACCACCCCCAGCACCTTCCTGCCCTTTGGACCAAGTAAGACAAGGAAAAAGAGGGCCATCAGACACATGTCTCCCATCCAATACATTTCTGGAAGGGAACATGCCTGGAACCACTAAACAAAGGGTCCCACAGAGAATAATATCAAATAAAGTCATCCCTACATCAGTTCTCTTTCTTGGCTTGCCAGAGTTAATGACCATCACCAGGCCTTGAAGACATAACCTCTTTCCTGGGAGATTTTGTCATGGAAGGTGTGTCCCCCAGGGACCTGGCCACATTGTATGGATGATGTCAAAGGAGGTGGGTATGCTTGAGCTGTGCTTAAACAAGGCACAAGGCAATACATTAATCTCCATTTAATGCAGCTAAACACTGTTCTCTCAACAGATACACATATATAACCCCGAGACACATTTTTTTCCTATGATTTCTTTTTTTTATTTGCAGTGGCAGAAAAGGCTTTTTAAATCATAAGGGTCTATGGAGATAACAGTCTTTCAAAGTGGAGTGAGGATTTTCAATTTTTATTGATTTCTTTAAAAAATGTCCTCAAAATTGGAGAAGCTGATTTTCACCACTGGCCACACATGACCATGATGTATCATGTTACATGCAGAGTTCTCCCTAACAACCTTTGAAATGATCTAGAGATTCAGCCAGTAGGATCCTCTGAAATGTTGATCAAGGTCTGAGCTGGTTCAAAACCTGGGAAATTTTTTTCTGGGATGCTCAATTACTTGAAAAGAAGCACATTCCTTAATATTTATCTAAACTTTTAGATAAAGAAGGGAACAGTAAATGCTAATTCGAAAATGACAGCATCTTTTGAAAACCTTTTGAAATGCTTTGCTCCTCCTGAGCTTAAGTCATAGCTGAGTGCCAAGGCCTCTTGTTCCATTAAGATAAGGCCGCTCTCTGGGAACAACTGTTGTCATCTCTCCACTTGGGCAATGTTGGCTGTTAATACTAGTTTGTCTCTAGTCTTTCTTCAAGCATGAAAATGCATCCTCACCACACTTCTCCTTCAATAAATCACACCATCCTTCTCTCTCTCACCTCTTTTGTTGCCCTTGAATCTGTACCCCTTAGCTACTCATTTGCTTCACTGCATCCAAAGAAAACTGTCCTCAGGGAAGAATTTTAGTTGCACGAAGGGAGCCAAGCAAATCAAGTGGGGATCAAATAAACTTCTCTCTCCATGTGATTATCATAAAGATTTAAAAGTCTAGGCTTTAAAAAAAAAACTGCCATAGGTGGGAGATGTTTGCAAGGATTAGCGGGTTCTGTGCTCTTGCCCTTTATGGAATCTGAAACACCAGCAGTTCCCAGGCACTATTTTCAGAGCTGTGCTGACACTTGTTAATAATGTCAGTGCAGAAAGCTATGCTGGTTTTAATCTCATTTAGACACAAAGAAAATTAGCTAGTATGTGCCAGAAGGGAAAGGGGAGGAAATTATGCTATTGCTATCAGAGGGCAAATGCTCAAAGTTTTAAGTAAAATCAAAGAGGCCTTTTCCATCAGATGCCATTACTAGAGAAAAAGTGAAAAGCAAACACCAACCTTCCTTCTTCATGAGCTAACCAGCAGTTTGCTCCTGGGCAAAGCCTAACAGGCCCCAAGTCGGCCCCAGCTAACCACGTCAATGCAGCAAAACTTTTCCAACAAGCTAAGCTGCTGAAACTAATGTAGGAGTCTGATATTGTTTTGCATTCAAAAATGACTGCCCCTTACAGGCAATGTAGGATTTTGGATCAGATTCTGGAACAGGAAAAGGACATTAGTGGGAAATCTAGCAAAATCTGAATAAAGCCTGTGGCTTAGGTAACAGTGCTTAGTAAATGTGCTATGATTAAAGTAGATGTCAGGGAAAGCTGGGCTATGGGTAGAGGGGAGCTCTCTACACTCTCTTTACAACTGTTCTGTATCTAAAATTATTTCTAAATCAAGAGTTTATTGAAATGATGCCCTTTTAAATGACTTGAGTCTGATCTCTGAAATGCCCATATGCAAAGGGGCCTCATTTGCACCTTCCTCTGGACCACAGAGGAGGCAGCAGGACAGCATTCCCCTGAAGAATGTTTGTCCCAGGGGAAGGCTGCTGGGCAAGCAAGCTCTGTCTCCTTGCACCGGGTCTCCTTGGATTAGCTAGGCAGAAATACAGCAGTCTGGCATAAGCGACAAAATGAGCTCACACCAAAGCCAGCCGAGACTGTCACCTGTGTTAATCAGCTGCTGTCACTAAGAAGGTGGTTACACAGTTTCTCAGGCTTACCCTTGATTCACTGTATATTTTATTCACTACTCATCAAGGGTGGGAGATTTATTGCTCATTCAAAATGGTAACGTCAAGAGTTGGCAACAGAATTTCAAATTTTAGACACTTTTCTTTAGGTTTAGGGCATTTAATTCTTTTAAAAATTGTTTCTATGTGTATTCAGCATTAAAATTTTCAGTTTCCCCATACTAGGTAAGGATTGTTGAAATTAAGGTTCTTACAGTTCAGCATCTATCTTATATTTTGTTACTTCAAATATAGACTTCGCTCTTGAACACAAAGACATTTACTTAAAAAAATACACATGCCTCTGCACAGTTGTTTTCTTTTGCCAAGATCAGTGTGAAATACTGTATTTTCACTCAAACACAACTGTTTTAAGCATAAAGATGAGAAGTTCTTTTGGGGTTTCTTGGAGGATGGAGGAAGAGCAGAGAACAGATAACCTTGCAGCAGGACTGACTTCTGTATCAACCTGAGTGAGTCACTCAATACTTCTGCATTCTGGTTTCACTACTTCACATATGTTCCAGAAACTTCTCAGGTCCAGTGGTGCTGAGAGAATCATCAGAAGTTCTTAAGATGCTAAGAAATCTCTTAGGCAGAAGGTGAAAATTTTATTTGAAATAAGAAATTCCTTCTGCCATAGAAGCAGTAAGAATTTAGTACCACATCACTGGCGTAAAGATGGCCTTTTCAACCAATGGTGCTGGGATGGTGGGCTGGCCATTTTCTCTGACACAGGGAGGGTTTTGAGCAAAGAATGAACAAGATTGGATTAACTTCTGCACAAGCCCACTCTGGCTGCTACAGGGAGAAGAGTCTGAAGGTGGGGTGGAGGGTGAATGCAGCAGTCAGTTGGGAGGCAACTGCAACCGTGCAGTACAGGACTGGAGGTGGTGAAGAGGTGGTTAGATTCTGCAAACGACTTGCAGGTAGATCCAAAAGATACGGAAGTAAGAGCAGGGCCAAGGAGGCCACCTGGGTTTTTGTCCTGAGCAACAGGGAAGGACGGAGTTGTCCACAACAGAGATGAGGTAGTATAGGAGGAGCAGACCGAGAGGAAGACTAGGAGCTCAGTTTCAGCCATGTTAGGGTAGATGTAGTAGAATGTCTAGCAGGTGGCTGGATGCAAGTCTGGGGTTGGAGGGAGTGATCTGAGCAGATTGAATTTGGGAGGCATTAGCATACAGACAGGATTTAAAGCTTGACACTGGAGGAGATCCCCGAGGAAGTGAGACTGGCTAGAAGGGATCCAAGGATTGAGCCTGGAGCCATCCAAAGTTCAGAGGTCAGGGAGAGCAGGAGGAATGGACCCAGGATACCAAGCCTGGCCCGGCCCTCTGGCAGCTCAGACCTCCCAGGGAACTCCCAAAGACACTGAGGTCTTTTCTATATCATTAAAGTCAGAGTTACCTGGCAACACGGTCTTTAAGAGGAAAGGGTAGACATTTCCCTCTTGATTTTAAGAGCAATTTGGTATGAAAAAATTCACCTCTTTGAGGAGACCAAATAATGCAAAAGACTGACTTAGAGAGGATCGCAGGGGAAAGGGGTAGTAATCAACAGGCTTGAAGGCAAATCTGTACTTGAGTATGGGTTTCAAAGCTACTTGTAAAAACTGTTCAAAATTTAAAACAATAAGTTCTGTACATACATACCCACATAGCCCTGGTACATGGACCTTGAACAATTTTTATTTTTTAATAAGGAGAAAAATGGAAGCAGCCTTAGGACTGGCTTTAAATATGAAGCTATCTGTGAAAATAATGAATCCAAAAATCAAATAATATACTTTTCTCACTCTGACTGTAAACTGTCCCTGGGGCTGTGGCTGTATGTCCATGCTGTGGCAGAATGGTTGGGACCCAGCACAGTCCTACAGGGAATGTTCCTCAAGATTTATAAGCACAATGCAAATGGAAGAGCAGTTGCTAAAACATGGACTTATTTAGAAATTTCTGTCAAATAGAGTCAAAGACAATATTCTCTCATGGCTTTGCCTGAGCATCTGTAGTACTTGAGTTACAGAAATAGTACTTGTTCAGAATGTATTCATGTGCAAAGTGGATCATTTATTTAACACCAAAATCAAATTATAAAAACATCAGTTACAACAGGCATTTAAAAAGCATTTCTAACATTCTAAGCTTGCATCAAGACAGCTCCACAACCTGGATTCCCAAAACCCTCTGTAAGTTATAATGACAAAGAAAATTTTCACTGGTTGTGGGAAGCTGGTGTGGAGACAGTTGCCCTGTGAACAGTGGCTGACAGGGAATGCTGTTTCTTCCTCGGCTTGAGGTTTCCTGCTTGATCTTCAGGGGAAGAGTTTTGTGCTTGCTTAAACAGATTCTCAGTAAAGGGACAGGAATCCTCTATGTAATGTCACAAAATTTATTGAAGAGAGAAAGCCATAATCAAGGTCTCATGCCCACTTACATGTGCCATTGCTAACATCTCAAACAGAGCTCTTCCTAACCAGTAACCTTAAAGTCTTGATTTCCATGTTGTAAGGGCTGGTTAACACCCTTTAATAACTACTTTGCAATTCCAAACAACTCCCTGACAGCTTTTATAGGGAGGGAATGGAATAACTGTGCATGTGCTTCTAAAGATCGAGGACACAAAAGCAGCTATTTAACCATTTCCCCCCTAGGTTGACAGGAGAGGTATGTGAAGTCCAGTTCATGAAGCCCTGATTACAGAAGAGGAAAGCAGCATCTTCATTTTTATAAAAGCCTTGCCATTCACCTGCTCTTCCTTTTCCTTCCTTATTCTTGGCCACTGTGTTTGGAAATGGGAGTAACTCCCCACAGGCAGGTGGTATTTACAAGTAAGGCCAGAGTCCTGGATGTGCCATCCTTGGGGCAACCATGAGGCAGACGAGGCGATTAAGTCCAAGAGAACATTTTGTGAACAGGCTACAATAGCCCATTTGTACCTGTACTTTAAAGGAGCTGGAGAAACCGGGCATTGGAGGCCATCCAAACTCCCAGGCTCAAGGAATCCCAGTCCCAACTCTGTTTTAATGTTTGTATTAATGATCCTTATTTGTGGAGGACTTTGATTTCTCCTTGGCTGTGGGTTCCTGGGTTAAGTAAGCCTGGGTTATAGGTCAGAAGGCTGGGACAGACTCATAGGGCCAGGCATATTGTCCAGTTTGTTCTCTTCCACCCAGATAGTAGCCTCCTGAGATGGCTGCAGGCAATAAGCCATGAGATGGGCAATGACTCTGGCCCTTTACAAGGCAGAATAGGCTCCTATCAAGGATACCCAGAGGGATAAGTCTACAAGGAGCAATTCTGTGTTCTTCTGATCTTCAATCGTCCATGTCAGTGAATTTTCTCTTCTTGTAGTTCTGAACGAGGGTGAAAGCTATGATCTGAGAAGCCTGCCCCTTCTCCCAACACTGAAAGTCATTCAGTCCTTTCTGCCCTATTTGAAATAAGCCCCTCTCCATCTCGTCTAGCCTGGCGACCAGTGCTGAAGTGTCCTCATTGTAGGCATTCTGGGAGGAGTCCATGATGCAGCAAAAACGTCCAATAAATGTCTGAAGAAAAAGGCAGTGAGAGAGATCAGATTCATTTTTATCCCTGAACATTTAGATGACACAAAGGCAAAGAATTTGGTCTTGGACATAGTAAGAAGAATCTGAGGGTCCTCTTCTGCCCAGGTAAGTTATTCCACATTGGCAAGCCTCAACTTCCTTGTGTGTGAAATGGGTTGATATGAAAATCCAACAGGTTGTTCTCAATGAACTGATACATGTAGAGCACCTACCAAATGGCTCATAAGAGCAAGCTCCTTGAAAAGCATTACCCATCACTCTTACTAGTAGCTAAGGCCACCATAATGTACTGGGATCACATGCAGACAGGTTTCAACCAGGACTCCTGATTTAATTGAATTAGCTTCTGTTTTTTTTCAGTCTGAAAGCAGGCTGGAAACACATATGATCTAGGGGTGTTATTTTACAATAGGGTTCTGAGCCCAAGCCACAACCCCTGCTTCAGTTTCTTCAACTGTTTCACAGTGATGTTTCCTTATATATAAGCAATTCTAATGTATAGCACTTCACAGAAGTGATGGGAAAAAAAACCCATACAACTCACAAGAAAAGGGCAGTACTTCAATTTAAGAACATGTCCTGGCGACATTATCAGACAAATGGATTTTCCTCACTTTTAGCTTTCTGCTCAAAAGTTTCGTAAGCTCAAACTGTTTATAGTCTATGTATTGACTTCTTTTTCTGAATGGGGAGCAACAAAGTTTTTCTTTACCATCTACATTAAAACCAGCACTAGCACTAGTATATGTTAGGCCAAACAACCCCTGAGTCTGATGGAGGGTATCTGCATGGTCCAGGGAGCAAATGTGCATTGAACCAACATTTCTCATGAAGTTAGAAATGAGGACATAAAACAAGAGGTAGGAAGGATGGTTTCTTCTAATATTAACAGAATAAAAAATAATTACAAAAAGTTAAAATAAGATTATTTTGTGAAGGATGATAAGTATGTGTTAAACACTATTTGTATCGTCCATGGAAAATAATAGCAATAGTTACTGTTTATTAAATGGCACTACATAATCTCACTACAACTCTACTGTAAGTTTGGCACTAGCATTATCTCCATTTTACAGATGAAGATTTATATTTTATTGATGCCTAGAGGGATCATGCAGCTTGACCAAGTGACCCAACTAGTACATGGCTGGGCCTGGTCTTAACCCCACAGTAAGGGAAGGGAACAAATAACCAAAAAGTGCATCTATTTCTGACAAGAAGCCTCAGACTGGTACTGGGGCGGGGCTGGGACCGTGAGTCTAAGTGCCTGTCACCTGTATTCAACCATTGCCCCTTTCTTATTTCCAGGACTTCCTGTTGGTCCTAACTCTTAGCAAGCAAGCATGAAGTGCAGTGGACAAGCAAACACAGTGCACCTGTAGGCTGACATGGAATAGCAATCAACTACTTGTGTAAATTATATTTTTCCCTGGACAGGAGCTGGCTCCTAAGACATGTGCAATGCCATAGGTTTTCACATCACTTACTTACTTGCAGGAGAGACTGGGAAATATCTGTATTCTCTGGACTGTCAAAATGCAGGGGTTGGGAGCCAAACCCGTAGAAATGTGGCACCATTTTGTGGAGGTCCACCACATTGGCATCTGCACTGAACACAGTCCTCCAACCTTCTTGGTAAATCATGGGAAGTTCCACAGAAAGGATCTGCTGCCTGTTGTCAAACAGTCCTTTTGCCAGCCACAAGGGGAATTCAAGCTTTGAGCCCTGCATCAGGCAGGAATGTAGATTTTAAAACAAGTAACATAGTAAATAGGTGTGACTGAAAGGAAATAAATACACCTTGCCTCAGTGAATTTCAAAATTGCTTGTTCTCTTTGAGGGAATGATTGTCACATGCAGATCTGGTTATGGCCTGAAGAAATGAATTATGTGGGTTGAAAGTTCTATGTAATGATGGAATGGAGAAAGAAAATGGATTTATACAACAGAAACATAGTAGAGAACAAAAATGTGGTATAAAGGGAAAGTTTTCTAACTAACATAAATAAAAATTGTTCAGTTGTAGATGTTTCCTGTACTATAAAAGTGTTAAATTCTCATAGAGCAGAACTCCTGCAAAAGTTGGGAGCGGTTTGGAGGAGGAGCTTTTTGCAAACCTCACAAGACTGGGGAGACAAATACTGAGTTCAAAGCTCCCAAAGAAGCCAGGATATGAGGCACTAAGATTTGAGAAAGAAGGGAGAGAAATAAGCCCAGTATTTGGTACCAGACATAAGAGCAATTAGGTATCAATTTTAAAAATCAAATGGAAATTCAAGAACTGAGAAATGCAATAACTGAACTTAAGAACTCAACAGATTCAGTCAAATTTAACAGGTTTACCAGATTTGACATGAGGGATCATGAATTGAAAAGTTCAATAGAAAATACTCACATTAAAGCATACAGAGTAAGTACAGGAAAGAGCGTAAGAGACATATGGAATACAGTAAAAATAAACAAGGAATAAGTAAGTCTTACATGCATGTAACTTGAATCTTAGAAGGAGAGGAGGAATAGATTAAGGAAAAAGTAGCTGATGAGACAATGGCCATACATTTTCTAAAATTAAAAAGAGATATCAAAGCACAGATTCTAGGAACATTATGAATACTACACAGGATACATATTAATAAAACCATAACTAGGCACATCTTAAATTGTTGAAACATGAAGACAGAAAATGCGAAAAGCAATTGCTGGTGAAGTAAGGGACACATTTCTTTAAAGAAGGAGCAGTGAGAGATAAAGCCAACTTTTCAAGAGAAATCATAAAAGCCACAAAACAACTAAAATAAATGACACCTTTTAAAAAGCACTGGAAAGAAGATAACTGCTAATCTAAAATTCTATACCCAGTGAAAATATCCTTTAAAAGCAAAGTGAAATAAAGGCATTTTCAGACAAAAAGTGTGCAGAAAAGAGTTAACCTAGCAAGCCTGCAACTACTCTCCTTCGAAAGGTCTGCTTGTGAGGTCAGCCATTGGTTGGTGTCTTGGAACTTGGGATTTCAGAAGGGCTCCCACCATTCTCAGAATTGGTAAGAGCTCCTCACAGTGCTTAAACTGTACAATGTGGTTTATGCCAAACACCTGCTTTCCTTCTGAAAGTCTGGAATCTTGGTATGTGCTTTATAGAGAGTGCCTGTGTAACCAGCCCTCAATAAAACCTCAGGTACTGATTCTCTGCTGACCTTACCTAGTAGACAGTAATTCACACGTTACAATTCATTATGGGAGAAATTAAGTGCATCCTGTGTGATTTCACAGGGACAGGACTCTTGGAAGCTTGCGTCTGGTTTCCTGTGAACTTCATCCCATGCACCCTTTCTCTTGGCTAACTTTGCTCTGTATCCATTCATTGTATTAAAATTTAAAGATAAGAATGATTATATGCTGAGTCCTCTTAGTGAATCATCAAATCTGGGGTTGATCTTGTGGGCCCTTGGTACAGATAGCACTGGAGAATTTATCACCAGAAGACCCAGAGTAAGGAAATTCTGAAGTGAGAATGAAAATGATCCCTGAAATAAAGGCAGAAATGAAGGAAGAAAAACAAGAGTAATAGAAAGAGTGAACAAGGTGGTAAATATAACAATAACAATAACATAAATAATACTAATAATGTCTTATAGGGTTTAAAATGAGTCAAATTAGAATACATGACAATAACACAAAAGAAAAGAGGAAGAAATAGAATTAAAGTGTTCTCTGGTTCTAGCACTGTCTGTGAAATGGTGAAAACAGCAATTCATATAATATTCTATTTTTTTTTAAGTTTTAAAAAAATGTTTATTAAAGCTGTTACAGGATTTTTTCAAATGTAAGTACAAAAAAATTGTAGGATTGTCACCAAAAAGGTAACCAATGAGCGATGATACTGGAAGTTATTTTCCTTTATTTTTGCTTCTCTGATGCCCTTTTCTACAATGAATGTCTTTTTTTAAAATCTTATGCATTCTTTTTGTACTCCCCTTCTCCACCGATTTTAAGACATTTATAGCCTATCAACTAGGATTCTTGGACAACTGCTGGCAATCTCGTTTCCTGGGTTTTACTCAAACTATACTAAACATTTCCTATACTAATTTTTGTTAAAGGTATTTCCTATTAATCAAAATTAAAATGTGATCACTGAAAAACTTGATTGTGGATGAAAATTATGCATAAAAGGTCAAATACCTTATAATTAGATACTCAAGTTAGAAAGTAAATATTCTATGTAACATAAACCACAATTCTTACCCTTCTGTTTCCTGGTTTAACAAGAACTGTCAATTTGCTTTTTAAAAGAGTATACATATACATGTTTAATTTGGCATTCCATATTCAATAAAAATCAATTCATATTTTAATTATTGTGGAATTTTGACAATTCTAGCAATGATGAAGCTGACTTTTACCCTATTATCTAGCAAAAAGCAAGTAACATTGTTAAGACTCTAAATATTTAACCTGGTAAATAATGGGAATATATTTTAGTCAAGAACATACCATCTAAAAAAATAGTTTTGCTATCTAGTCATGAGTTTCTCATTACATTTCTGCAGGCCCTAAATGTTTAGAATAAATGTAACATTCACATAATACTATAGTCCATGAAAAGAATATATTGTTTTATTTTTTTTGTTCATACATGTTAAGTTTCACTTTCAATATTAAATTCCAATAAATTTGATTCCTTAATCATAAAAACTTGCTTTACACATTATTTACATGTTGCCAAAGTCCACAGCCATACAAAACATGATAGGGATCGGACTCTATGCATGGTACCACCTCACAGGAGGAGGGAGCTAATCAAGTAACATACCTTCAAAGATTGAATTGTAGATACACAGTGTATTTGGCACTGTTCATTAACATAACACCTTCCTCTCAGAGTTGGGCTTTCTTAAGCCTTATTCACAATACACCAGAATTTTACTATTCACATCAAAAGCAGCTTTTAAACTTTGTGACAGTAATCAGTTTTAAGACACAAAACACAACCAGAATTGGGAATAGAATTCAAACCCTCCAACTTCTTGCTATACTCCAAGCTGCCATCCATAAAGTAGGTTTGATAATCTTTTCATTGCGGGGAATGTCATGAAAAAGCAATTTAGATTGCATCTTTCAATACAATAAAGATAAAAAAAATTTTTTCTTTAAAATAATCAGTTTTTCTTGGTAGTACAAAGGGAACCCTGATGATGCATAACTTATGATGATATAAGCAAGACTTAGAGAATGACAAATGCCATTCAAGTTGTAGTGAACACACTAGCAGTTGAACTCATGAGAAGGATCTGGAATTCCTATATCTGAATTCAGAATCTCTAACAACTCATTTTAATGTTCTCTTCCCAGGACTATTGCAGATTGAGGTCACAGGTTACAGATTTACTTTGATGTGTAACACTATATTGCTATGAAATAGAGAAAATAAAAGTACAAAAACTCATCTATTAAACCTTGAGCAACTTTGGCTATATCCTAGTGGGTGATTTATTTGTCTAACTTAAGTTTAATAAATATTAAATCTCTTCAATTTAATTGGGCCCATTAAATTCATTAAGCCATATATATTCTAGAATGTTTATAAAAGACACATACCGTATTTATAAAAGGCATAAATTCAGTCTTAAACTAAGGCAAAAAAGCCTCAACAGATCATGGATCTCAACAGTACATGGGAACAGAAATCATAAATTCTCTAGTAAAGTTTAGAGATACACTACAGCCTCACACAAAACTTTTAGCAATAAATTAAGACTTAAAAGAAGTCTTATAATGTACCAAGGACTATGAAGTGCAAAGTAATGTCACTGGATCAAAGTTGAATCATTTTATTTTGAGTGTATTTTAAAAATCATAAACAAGGTTTTGTAAAAGGCAAAGCATTTATCCTTCATAGCTTCAGAATATGACAAGCAATTTCAGATCCTGCTTTCCAAATCCAATCTTCTTTCCTATTCAGACTTCTGACACCTAGTATTTAAACTATTCTATTCTAAATGTATAATTTTAGGTAACTATTGTATACTTGTTGATAAGATTTTTCTGAAAACAGGCCATCAAAAAATATAAAGAATGGTTTCTGTCCAAGGATCAGCAGTAAGAGAAGAAATATTAAACACCTATCAAAAAATCATCTATTTATTCAAAAAATAACAGAACCAATGCTGTTCTCCGTCATGAAAGAGAACATGTAAAACTAATTTAAATTACTTTTGTAGACTTTGGTAATACTTTATTACCTATACAAGCCTCAATCTTACTTCAAGATCTTTTATGCAAAGTCACCATCAGGATTTACTGAGTAAAAATCCTGGGTACTAACATGGCCCTAAATGTGCTATTCCAAAGAGGAACAGGTTACTTTTGAGGAAAAGAGTTGCCTTGGTAACTTCCCTCAAATGCTTAAAATAAAAATAGTTAATGGAAATAATTTATGCTGGGTACACACTGACCACCAAACAAAGAAGGAAATCAAATTTTCTTTCCTATTGAGGAAATTTGCCATTTTTACTTTTAAGATTAAATTTCTTCCATTTTGGCTACCTAATACAGTATTTAAATTTTTGAAGTCTGCATTTCAATGCAGTAAGAGTTGTTTTTCAAATGATCTTCATAGCCCAGAACACAGACACCAGAGCAACACGCTCAACTCATACTATTTGACTAAAATGAAGAGATGAAAATGGACTGATATCTGAAAATAGGTATTCCCTCTGCTCCAAAGGTGAGCAAGTTTTTAACATGTGAGCAACACAGAACCCCATGCCTCTGTAGACCCCTCAAACTCAGAATGTTTCCATTTAAGAATGTTATCTTAAAAATTAAAATTTGGTCACTTAGGAAGGACTAAACAAAAATTATTCCCTTCCCTCAAAACAAACAGCTTTAGTCACCCCCACCTTCTCCCCACAAAAATAGGGAAGTAGTTGAGGTTGCATAAAGCCTTTAAGGCTGAAATTTCAGCTTCTAAAACATTGCTGCTACTTGCTTAAAGTTGCAGGTTTACATGTTTTCTTCTCCAATATTTCCCTTATAAGTTTATTTTCACACATTCAGACACATATGAGCACACGCACGCTTACTCTCTAGTAAGACACTTATTTGTGTTTGTTGATAAATTATGAGGATTATAAACTAGATGTGTACAGGGTTTCATAGGTGCTTTGTAAACATCAGAGTCACTTGGGTCCTTTTCTTCAAAAGCCTGAAATCAAATTACACAACCAGGGATCACTACTTTCCCAGACGCTGCTCACAGGCTGCATACTGACGTAGGGCAGAGAAAAAGGCCTCATAACTGATGTTTAGATGGGAAGGCAAAGACACTATCTCAGTCAATCTGATGTGCCAGGGAAGAAGGCTTAATGTGCTGTCCACAGCACCAAACTTCAATACTAAATCAGGATCAGGGAAACCATTTGAACTAATTAAACTGTCTAACATAGCTACATACAAATCTGTGGATCTCTTTTGCTGCTGTGCTACTAACTGGCAAAAGTTCTGAGCAGCTCTCACAATATCTGCTTTTCCATCTTCTGGGGCCAGCACTTTCACGACCGATTGGGAATTTAAAACTTGATCATCTTTGTCATTACTATTCGCAAACTCTGGTGAGTATTTGGAACAATCTAAGTCCAGAAGTTCCTGCTGTTGTTTTAAATTTTCATCCATCAATCTGGAATTATTTCTTTTGAAAATACCTTGGTGGTCGTAGACGCTAATGTTAGGAGATGCCCACGGCCATACACCAACCACACCACGATATCGGTGAAGCTGGGCTCCTGATCTTGCTCGGTGACCACCAGGCCCATGTGCACAGGCAGCTTCTCCAGGGAACGGCCGTCCGCGCGCCAACGCAGCCGGAGGTGAGCGGCGGCCGGACCCGGCCTCCCTCTCGGGTGCGGGTGGTGACGGCGGTTCCTGCCGACAGCCGGGGGCTTGCGGAGCGTGAAGACGAGCGGCGCTAGGACCGCAGCGGAGGCGGCGCGACAGCAGCGCCGCCAGATCCCGTTCCAGGTGCCGAACCGACCGCGGAGCCAGGAGGAGACCGTGCGGTGCAAGAGGAGCGGAGCGTGCAGCACCCGCCACACCAGCTCGTACAGCCCCGTCTTACTCTCGTGGCGCCCTTCCTTCCTTCCCTCCCACACCTACGGCGCGACGGAGTTTTATCCGGCCCGCCGGCCGGCGCCGACCATCGCTCCACGGCCATCGCTCCACTCCGCCCCCCCCGCTCCCGGCGCCGCAGCCGCTTTCCAATGCCAACACCTCACCTCGCCCCCGCCGCCATCTTCCCCGGGGCACGGCCTGTAACATTCTTATTAGTAAAAAATGCGTAATATTTAAGGTAGCCACGAAAGTAATAGATTAAACAACTAAATAAATGAATAAAAAGGTGAATGGATAATCGCCAAATTGATTAATCCGAAAGAAGTGAAGAAAAGAAAAGGAGACCAAAACAGAGAGGACACAAAATAGTAGGCAAAAATAAGCACAAGTATATTAATAATTAAATTAAATGCAAACAGATTAAATACACCAATTAAAAACTGCTAAATGGAATAAAAACAAAACCCAACTACATGCTGCTTAAAAGAGGCATACCTTAAATATAAAGAGACAGTAAGGTTGAAAATAGAATGGAAAGAATGTCATGCAAACAGTGATCAAAAGAAAGAACATTACTAGAGATAAAGGGGACATTTGACAATAATGAGTCATATATCCACAAGAAAAATATAAATACCTGTCTACCTTGACTGAAGTAAAAGGAGAAATAGACACATCTATAATCACAGTGGAACATTTTAATATTCTCTCTAGGGAAACGAGAAATAGCAAACAAAAACTCGGTGAAGAAAGCAGACGATCTCAACAAACCAAACAGCAACTTTGACCTAATTCACAGATATAGATTATTTATTACACACCATGACTTCATAAAATACATCTTTTCAAGTGTCCTAGAAGGGTTAAATTGATCGAATGCTGTGGCATGAAGCAAGTCTTAACTTTAGAAAGACTGAAATCATTGAGACTATGTTCTCTGGCCACAGTGGAATTAAGCTAGAAATAAAAAACAAAAAAGAGAAACAGTAAAACCCCAAAATGCCTGAAATTAAGCACTAGTCTTCTAAATAGCCCATGAGTCAAAGAAGAATCACAATGGAAATTAGAAAATATTTTGAACTCATTGATAATGGAAATACAATGAATCGAAACTTTTGCAATGCAATTAAAGCTGTACTTAGAGGAAATGTACAGCTATAAATACATACAGGTTCCCACAGATGTAGTGACCTAGGGCCCATCTCAAAATGGAGGAACAACAGAAAATTAAGTCCAAAGAAAGTAGAAGGCAAGAATAAAGAACTTAATGACCTAGAAAATGGGTACAAAAGAGAAAACTGACAGAGCCACAAGTTAGTTCTTTTAAAAGAACAATATAATTGATAAACTAGCAAGACTGATTAAGAAAGAGCATTATTTCTCAATATCAAAATTAAAAATCAGGACACTAATACAATCCTACAAATGTTAAAAGGATAGTAAAAGAATATTTTAAACATTAAACCACTACATCTGAAAATTTAGATAAAAATTGTCTAATTCCTAGGGACAAAAACCAAGGTACCAAGAGTAACACATGAAGAAGTAGACAATCTGAATAGTCCTATCTATGAATGAAATTGTCATTAAAAACCTTCCCACATACATCTCCCATGCAGAATTCCAAATAATTTATGTAGACACTCTGCCCTCAAAGAAGTGGAACATAACTCCCCACTTCCTAAGTATGACTGCATATAATGACTTCTATCCAAAGAGTACACTATGGAAAAGTGGAAAAAAGAGTAACATTATAGTGAAGAATCCTGACAAACACCACCTCTGCCAGGTGATCAAGGCTCACATCCATGTGTATGTTCATACTATATAGCACTGGCATGATGTGATGAGAATGGCACTTTACCTCTATGCTCTTCCTCCTCAAAACCCATAACCGCGGTCTAACTATGAGAAAAAAACAGACAAATTCCAGTTGTGGAACATTCTAAAAAATTACTGACCAGTGCCCCACAAAACTGCCATGGTCATTAAAAACAACAAAGTCTGATAAACTGTCACAGACTAGAGAAGCCTAAAAAGACATGACTGCTAAATGCAGTGTGGTACCCTGGCTGGGATCCTGGCAGAGAAATAGGACATTAGGGAAAACGAAGGAAATATAAAAAAAGCATGGGCTGCACATCTCTGTTTACCAATGTATAAGAAAGGAAACCTTTACCTACTTTAATGTAAAGTCAGTAGATTATATCTAAATTTAAAAAAAAATCAAGCAGATACGTTTAATACTATGAGTTGAGTTAGAAATATGGAGGTGAATCTTGAAGAAACTACTAAACATAGTGGACAGACCCCCTGGATCTGAAAAGGAAGAGGTGAGGGGAGAGCAAAGCAGGGGCTGTTATAAACCTTTTTTGTACTGTTTTGACTATTAAAATTTTCTGTATGTATTACTTTAATAAACTCAAAACAGACCAAAAACACTCTTCCT